GGGCTGCCCAGTAAAAATTAGCATGATAATGTAAAATCATTGAGCGGCCTCCATGGCCAGCGCCCTGAGGTGGCGATGTTAATGTGAGAGATTAGCATGTTAATGTGAGAGATTAGCGTGTTAATGGAAGATCGCAAAGCAAAAACCTCGAGCTCGGTGCGCGAGGTGGCTGTGTAAGGGTGAGAAATTTTACCTGTTAATGTTAAATCAGAGAGCCGAAATTAACAACCAACATCGGAAGGTGGTATCATGGGAACATCACAGCCAATTATGACTGGTTGATAACGTCCTTTCAATGATTGCTCAGTTTATACCCATCTTCTCGATTGAAATTGTGTCTGTGTCTATATATATGGATGGCTTCATGAACAAATCTTTGATAGCCAGTAGGTTTGCCTTAGAGAAATAAATTTCGTGTGACCCCACCGCATTAAAACAATGATCAGCCACGGCCGAGTTACTGGTCCTACCATGTTTCAGATCTGCCTTATGTTCATGAACACGGTCCGAGACATGTCGCTTAGTTTCCCCAATGTAACTACTGCCACAGACACAGCTTAATTTGTAGACGCCGGGGTATTGCATGTCAGGGATCACATCCTTCACAGATGGGATCAGATCACGAATTTTACGTACTATGTTAAATCGAACCTGGATCTTGTTTGCTCATGCTTTTGGAAATATTTTTGGTGACCCCTGCTATGTATGGCAAGGTGATTGTTTTTTATTGGGTCCTCAGATGGTTCTTTCCCAACGGTTGGGGTGAAAGCTTTACGGATTGTGTAGTCTGAATATCCATTCATTTTGAGAGCTTGGTGTACGTGTTCCAGTTCACTGGCTAGGTGATGACGGTCGGAAATACATCGAGCTCTATAGTGTAGAGTTTTGATGAGGGAATTCTTCTGGGAAGGATGGTGGTGGGAGTCAGGTTTTAAGTGGGCATCCATATGGGTGGCTTTCCTGTAGACAGTGTCCCCTTGAGCCATCTGGTCTCCTTTCAATTATAACATCCCAGAATGGTAACTTGCCATTCTTTTCCACCTCCATGGTGAATTTGATGGCTGGGTGTATGGAGTTGATGTGGTTGAGGAATTGGTTCAGAGCTGGTCGGCCATGTGGCCAGATGACGAACATGTCATCTACGTACCTCTTCTAAAAGGATGGACGTAGAGTGGATGACTGGATGGCATCTGTCTCAAGTTTTTACTTGAAAACATTGGCTACAACTGGAGATAAGGGAGGTTCTACAAACAAGTTGAAGATACCCCAATGGGTTCTCCCTTATCTCCAGTTTTAGCCAATGTTATCATAGAAAAATTTGAGACAGATGTCGCTGCCCACCACTTACATTAATATTGGCTGCTGACATTTGGGCTATGCCCATTTCAAACCTTTATAAACAGTTTACCTTTAGAAGCGAACCCCTCTTCCTGATGACGAATGCTTGTGTTGCGATTGAAACGTCATAGTTTAATTTTTTGTTATTTTCTTTGAATCTATCTACGTTACTTCACCGAAAGACCCAAAGAATAAGAATTCCTGCAGTCACAAAAGCTTTAAGTCAAGATTTTACACATTTATTGATTAGGATCAATCTTTTTCCACCTCGTGACGTTGCTTTTCATTGTCGAGTGTTTTTGAAGATTTTCTTTTATATTAAAAGCTCCATACCAACGTGCCCATAGAATAAAGTTATCAATCATTTATGTTTTAACAGTTGCATACTAACTGCTGCTACGACATGGATAACTGAAATCAATCGTCGGTCGAGAATGAGCAAAAGCAGCAGTAGTAGTTATAATGTTCAAAGGTTAATTATTGAAAAAGGTCATAACTGAAATGTTTGAAAGTATCATCTCTCTCTGCAGAATCGATACCGACGCGAGCACGGAGGAGACAATCCTCAACCATCTACGTGGCAAGGACCCAACGACGGACACATCATCTGTGTCAGAGGCACGTTTGTCTTCCGCGGTCACCGGTGCAGTTGTTTCGATTTTGGAGAGTGAGTGGGACAGGAATTGTGCAACCCGGTATAGTAATAACAGTAGTAATAACAGTAGTATTACATAGGCCACTCTCGAATTCACCTGATGCTGGTTTTAAATCACCAGCAAAACGTTGTACTGAAATTGTAAATGTTGCGAATTTGCTTTCCAACACACCGGTGTGTTAAAGTAGTCACTAACAAGGCACGTTTTGTTTACGTGGCGACCCTAATTAGCTGTGCAGGTGGTATTGGCTTCACCGCACCCAAAAAACTGTACAATATTATGAATTTGAACAGATTGTTGGGCAAATGTTTTTAGCGAGCACCTATGAAGCCACCACGGCACATGAGGGGGCGGGTGGCCAACACCAAGCTCAGCCGCCTTTGTCTCCCCAATACTGATATTTACACACACCAGGTACTAAATTAAGGCTGAGTCGAACTAAGGGAGGCCTGGGACTTAAAAACACACACACACAGCAGGGGTAAGATTCACATAGAAACCCATCGACTCACATAGACACCCGTGTGCAGCAGGCACTACGTGAATTATTACACTGCAGGATCGTGAGATTGCTATTTATTTTGGAGTCCATCCGGCAGTGGATTAATCACGGCAAATAATAACAATGATGAATAATTACCAGTGGTATATGACGTTATAGGACACACACTCGTATTGAATTTTTGGGGGGGCTTTGCTGTACCTCCAGTCCGAGCAAATATTTATTGAACATTCTCTAACTGTGGTGAGTTCTCCAATCATTGCACGTTTACAATATGTAGGACACATGCTGACAGTTACACAAGAGGCGCCCGTAAACTCACACAGCGACCAACAGATCCACAATGTTGCACCTCACCAATTCTCCAATGACACCACGTGATGATCCATCGCCAACACCCCGCACATCGACAGTGACCTGTGGGGTCACGTCTGGCGATGTGCAGCAGCATTGGAGTCAGGTAGCTGACATCGCCGTCCTCGTAGTCCACCACTTTTCCGTTGTGGCAGTAGCTCAGCACAGCGAAGCCCACGATGCTTTCCAGCAGTGGCATCTTCATGCGAGCGTTGCCGATGTGGAGCCAGTCCGAGTGTGAGCTTCGCGTGCGAGCGCTGATTATTCAGCGCTTGGCCTGTTGCGACGTCGGCCCTGCTGTGGCTCCCGTTATAGTGACGTCACGTCTAACAGCATTTACTGTTTAATAATTTAAACTACGTGACATCTGCGTATGCTTACCATTACAAACATGCGTTTATTTAACATTGGATTCTAATGCAATTAGTTCATTTAATTTTAGTGTCACAGGAAACGTGAATCAGTGTTTATTTTTGTTTCTATGTTTATAAATAATTTTTGCTGAGATTCCAAAATGGGCAGGAACCACGACTTCAATGCAACTAAAAGGCAAAGTCATTTCTCACTCATGAGCATTGAGGCATTAGAGGTCACCTGCTGTGTATAACCCTGAACCAGTAGTGGAAATTCCACATTCCTCTCGCAAGGGAGATTCTTCCCATAGGACAACCACTGTTTACTTCCCCATGAAGTCGTAGCCATTTTATTGGCACCGAATGGATGAATGCTTTTTTTGCTGTCAGGTGGATGAGAATATACGACAGACAGGGTGTACTCAAGCGATAGCGACTTGAGAGACGGTGACTCGGATTAAGATAGTTACGTTGCAAGTGTTATGAAATATTTAGTGAATACTTTTTAGTGACAGTAAACCAACATTTGGCAGAATTGGCAAATTTCCTAATGAAGTTGGTTGTAATCCCCAGCGAAACGTCGTACTCAAATTGAAAATGTTTGGTCTAATATAATATAATTCCGTGGGGTGACCTGGTCTGACAACTTGACATTAGTCATTGATGGTCATTTTGTGCATTGAACTCGGTTCATACTCCAGGTTTGCTGGTTTCTAGTCTCAAACTATAAACTAAACTATTCTTTATTTTACGAGGTAAGGAAGGCCCACCGAGCGATATAGCTCTTTGTAAGAGAAATCTATATCAGCCAAATACTCTAAACTCATGTTTCTAAATAAGGAGGGAAAAACTGGAAGACCCGAAGAAATATCCACGCAACCACAGGGAGAATATGCAAACTCCAAATATACAGGTGTCAGGATCTGGATTTAAACCACGACATCCTGTATACCAGGCAATGTAGTTAACATCTCGCCACCACATTTGTGGGCTCGTGGTCTGGGCTTATTGGGTTGCTAATTCAAGTTTGTGCTTCCGTAGTCCAGGTTATAGGTTCATAGTCCGAATATTAGGATTCTTAGTCCGGTATCTGCATGTATAGTGTTCATGGTGCAGTGTGCTAGTCAACATCACGTTCAAGTGGAGTGCACCATGAACACCATCGAATAAGATGTGATTTTTAATTAGACCAAATATGTATTTTATCATCTATTTTATATATATTTGAACTTTGTATACTTTTTACTATTTTGTGTATCTCAAATTTGTATTATGTAATGTTAAGTTTTCATGTAAGTGCCGTAACAATACTATTGTGAAGGGCGCTATTTTAAATATAGTTTGGTTGATTGATCCTAAACTCTTTGTGCCTTACAAAAACACACGTAAATAGTGTACTTTAAGACAGAAAGCGCTAGCCATCAATATACATCCACTTGAAAGACAACGGATTTGTAAAATGGCTTGGGTTTTATAAGAAATGTTAAATATATCACGTGATGAACCAATATCTCCCTGACTTTCACCGAGTGAAATTCCTCTAAACTGCACCTGATTGCTTGGACTCAAATCGACTCAGATTGTGTACCTGTACTGAGTACCAATTTTCCAGACTCTTGCCAAATTTAAGGATTGTTGAAAATTAGAGTTGGGTGTCTTTATACACCCATGCTGGTACTCGCTATTGAAACAAGTCAGTTTTTAATGCAACAGTTTGAGATATGCAGCGAAACACAGCTGTCACTTGCAAACTCGTGTTGCAATGGATTGTGGATAAAGATAAAGCCCAGCCATGTGTGACCATTAAGGGCCTGATTTAAGGCCATTTATTTGTTAAACTCATTTATATGCGAAATTATAATCATAATGGTTGAAATTACGGGCAATAATTAAACAAATACCTTATGTACACTTTTTTATTATGCCGAGATCATGTAAATGTGTCAATACGGCAAATGTTGCATTAGGCTACTGGACCGATATCTTTTGAGAACGTTTTCCAGCCCTGAGTTCACCGGGAGTAAAATTTATGAGCTGGAACGACATGCGCAGCACAGGGAACTATTTCTATGAAACACATTGTGCTCGAGGCTTGCTCAGATTTAAGAGCTGTGCTGCCGGACGGCAAACATGGCCCGAGATGTCCGCGTGCATTCATCGCTCAGCAGATGGGAGCCAGTCCTGGGGCAGGATTTCCATTGAGACATTGTCCCTACTCGAGGAAGGTCTCAGTCTGTACGCGCGTTGTGTGTGTGGATAACAGTGTGGAGCAATTTCGCAAACTGTCATCCTATTCATCAGCGTGGAATATATGTCTGTATATATATGCACACAGCATACACGTATGTATCATGCATATATGCACACTACATAAGTAGCAATACATAGAAATATGCATAAATACATAAAACATGGAAAGCATAACGCATATTTCTTGCAACAAACGGTTCGCCAGACGCCCCGATAACCCTGTCTGCAAAGTTCCGATGAACTCAAGGAGAGAAATTGATGTAGGGATCTGCCACCCACCCTGTATGTTGTACAAAATTAAAACTCCTAGCATGCGAGTGACTGCTGGCATCTGCAAGCACACGTGCACACAACGGGTTCATCATTCCTTGGAACCTGGCCACAGCAGCAGGAAGCCTCAAGCCAATTTGCCCTGCGGGGCAGAAGACACGGTGGATATTGCTCGCTCTGCGCCCCGGTCACTGCGGAAGGGTGTGCTCTCAGCATGAAATTATTCCTCAATCAAAATGGAATCCTACACTCACATTAAAAGCATCAAATTTCACATGTAAGAACTATTTATGATATACATCGTGTATGCCTTGAAAGTAATGGAATGAACACGACGGAACAAGATAACAACCAAATGAAGCAGAAAGGCATTCCTGAATAGAATTGTGATCCAAAATTGTAACATTTAAATTAATCACGTCGTGAAGAGGGGTAGGGTGAAGCATGCTTCATGGACAATTCCACATCTCCCTGGACAGGCCCAGCCACTGCATAGCCCTCGGACTAAACCATTTATCAAAGCCGAGATGCTGGAATGGGTTCTACAATTGGCAGAATATGTTTAGATGATTCTTTGGGAATGTAATAACTCATTTCCACAAAAAAACAGCTGACATTCTGATGACATTATGGAATTCCCTAATGTGTTAAATGTTCCCAAAAAAATTTGTATACAGTTCTGTAATTTGGTATGGAAAAGCTTTAAAATGCCAAAGCTTTGAAGACGGAAAAGTGTGAGTTACATCCCAAGACAAGGCCATTCTCTGTGGGGCAGTTTTCTTTGACAATGAAGTGCTGCAAGGTAAGTTTGTTTGTCCATGTATCTACTTTTTGCTGGGGATGTGCATTTTTGCTAAACAGGGGTTCCAAATATGGAACAATTCTCAGTTCTTTAACCAATGCCACACGCACATTCATAAAAAAAATGACAAAACAAACCACTAATAGCAGATTGAAGTCAGTGTTTTGTAGCCAGGGTAGTAGATTTTTAAGTTAGAACATTGAAACAGAATAACTAATAGACGTAATAAATATTAACTTAAAAAAATTATTCCATTTTCCTTGATAGAAGTGATATCCCTAAAGCACGTTTCATGCCCGTGCGCGTGGCTTTTCCGATCGAACTTGCGATCGAGAGATTATCATCTCATCACGTGAGCGTTTACTTTCCACATGGTGGATTTTTTTAATAATAATCGGCGGTATTAATTAACAATGTGTGGCAACTACAAGTGTCCACCTCCTGCAAATATTTAAAGTCTCATGCATCTATCAATGACATGAATCCATTATAAGGCAAACTTCACTGAATTTCAGGAATCTTTTTACGAGGGACCCTGCTTGGGAAGGATGGTCAATATGTATGAGTTATCTTTTCAGACTGGCAAATACCAATACACAGATAAACCCCATGTATTCAATGGCATGACACTTCAAAGTCGTTTAGGCCAGCAGCCCACCTGATGTGCCTTCACCTAGTGACCACCGCTCTCCGCATGTTGGTTGGTTCCAGAGCACGCTGAAGTTTTCCTGATCCACCGACTCCAAATGTAAAGCGTTTGCCATGATGCCTGTCAATAACATTAGCTCAGTGGTCCTGGTAAACAACAAGATATTTTACACTAATGCAGTTCTAGAAAGTGATGATCTGCTGCAGGGGGCAGGTCATTGTGTTCGCCAACCACAATAATATGCTTCCTGAAGTTGTAATATCGTAGCTTTTTAAAAATATTTACAAATCTTCAAAGATTACACTTTTTAGGAAAGAAGATAACAACATTATACCCAAAACTGGAAGGCATTAGCTTGGTGGAGCAAGGAATAAGATTTATAGGATTTAAATAAAGAGTGCTGATGGTTGTACAATCACAAACTGTGCAAAATGCTTTTGAACAAACTTATTATTACTAAAGACACAATTTTTGGTGGACTCGCAGTAAAACACGACACAAATCTCACAGCGCGGTGGGAGTGGCAGAAGCAGCCGGTGCAAAAGAGTCTGGCAACGGCAAGGCCTGCGAGGCCTGCGAGGCCGGCACATACGGAGCGGCACCGAGCTCACCGTCCGTGACCTCCATGCCGCCCACTCGTGCCACATGCCAAGGCAGGCTCTCGCGCAAGGCGCGGGCCTGCTGCTCGCGAAGACGCACACTCTCCTCCAGTCGCTTGTGAGCGATGAGCAGCGCCGGCTTGAGGCGCGTCAGATAACAGTAGTCGCTCATCTCCCGGTCGTCCAAGCGGCTCGCCAGCACGGCCGCCATGGAGCATTCTCGCCGCTTGAGCGCTTGCTGCAGATCCCGAGCGTCCTCGCGCTTCACGCGCAGATCTTGTGCTTTGCTCTCCAGCGACCGCTGCTCAGTGTAGATGAAGGATCACGTGAAACAAGACGGTTAAAAGACGAGGCCCAACATTTTACAAACAAACGTCAAGCATCACTTGATATTCATATGTGCAGCACCAAAATACCAGTGCTACTTTTAAATAAATCTACCAATGAAAACTTGAGCTGCACCTCAATAAATGTGGTGCAAAACAAGCATTGTTTACTTATAAAGCGTGGACTCATTGAGGGAGGCTCGCCACGATTTTCAAAAAGGAAACAAATATAAGAGGTAACGTCCTGGGCATTGTCCCTTACTCATGAATACAGATGCCAGGAGAGAGATGGGAGATAGATAAGAGACAGATCACTCTTGCCTCTATTTATGTGCTATGAAGAAGGGCCATTACTCAAAAAGTAGATTATTTTATACTTTCCTTTTCAGACCACACAGTGTTATTGACGAATGTGTTGAGCTCTTTGTTGTTTGTGCACCACTGTCAGCGCAGTGTCACCATATCATTAGGTCATACAACAGCTACACGCTCTCATGCAATAACAGGCATGCCCATCACGTATGGCACACCATGCGCATATACAGGAATTTGTTTTTAAATACTTCACAGCCAGACAATCTCCGATTGATAAAAGTGCAGCACATCTCCAAAGCCATAAGTAACATTCAAACATGACTTGCGAAGATCTCCAAACACCTAAAGGGTAATATTGCCTTGGTGTTGCTTCCATGTTTTGGAGTGCGTAAGGCACTTACAAGCCCGTTAAATGTTGCTACGTAACACAAAGCAATTACAACAGTGTTTAACGCATTTCATTTCTGCCACGTTGTAACGGTCAACACACAATCTCGACGCTGCCTGTTCGATCTTACGGCTAGGCGTTTGAAACAATGATGCACATTTCTTCAATCCCCCCACTGCCTCTGTCCACCCAGAAGAATAAACGGGCTCAACCAGAGTCAGTCACCAGGACACGTGTGGTGTGGTCAAGTGTGGATAATCCCACTCTATCAAAGACATCTGGCCAGTGTGAAAGAGTAGGCCAAAATACCCTCTAGCGGGACTCGTCCTTCCAGTGGTGGCACGAGCCGATAATTGCGGAGCTGCGCCTTCAGCTGTTACCGCAAAGCGATGGCGACCAACCGTGGCAGATATCGTGATATGTTTCCTACTCACTCTGCTCTCAGGGTTCCCGTCAGACTCGAGTTCCTCCAGGGCGCTCTGGGTGCGCGCAAGTCTCCCGCATATGGACAGCAGCAGGGACACCAGCGTGTCCATGTCAGACATGAGCTGGGAGAACTTGTCCACTTCGCTCGGCCGGCAGCGCTGCTGGACGGCCGCCTCGACGGCACGGGTGAGGGAGCGCGCGCTGCCCACGCGCTCTGCCAGCTGCGCCCGCTCCATTTTCAGGCGCTCGAGCTGCCGCTCCACACAGCGCAGCAGCTCCTCCTGTCGCCACGCACACACGCACGCAGGCACGCAACCACACACATGCACGGGAGATTGTTTTCACTTCACAAGATGTTGGAGGGCACATACAGGTGCTTCATTTCAGCTGGAACAGTCCCGAGCAGTCCAATGCAGAAATTATTTTGGCACACTCCATCCATCTTGCCTTATTTTTTAAAATATTTCTGCAGTATCATATGATTACAGTGAGGAAAAAAGTATTTGATCCCCTGCTGATTTTGTACGTTTTACCCACTGACAAATAAATGATCAGTCTATAATTTTAATGCTAAGTTTATTTGAACAGTGAGAGACAGAATAACACACTTTTAAAGGGAGTGCTCCTAATCTCAGCTTGTTACCTGTATAAAAGACATATGTCCACAGAAGCAATCAATCAATCAATCAGATTCCAAACTCTCCACTATGGCCAAGACGAAAGAGCTCTCCAAGGATGTCAGGGACAAGATTGTAGACCTACACAAGGCTGGAATGGGCTACAAGAGCATTGCCAAGCAGCTTGGTGAGAAGGTGACAACAGTTGGTGCGATTATTCACAAATGGAAGAAACACAAAAGAACTGTCAATCTCCCTCGGCCTGGGGCTCCATGCAAGATCTCACCTCGTGGAGTTGCAATGATCATGAGAATGGTGAGGAATCAGCCCAGAACTACACGGGAGGATCTTGTCAATGATCTCAAGGCAGCTGGGACCATAGTCACCAAGAAAACAATTGGTAACACACTACGCCGTGAAGAACTGAAATCCTGCAGCGCCCTCAAGGTCCCCCTGCTCAAGAAAGCACATATACATGCCCGTCTGAAGTTTTCCAATGAACATCTGAATGATTCAGAGGACAACTGGGTGAAAGTGTTGTGGTCAGATGAGACCAAAATGGAGCTCTTTGGCATCAACTCAACTCGCCGTGTTTGGAGGAGGAGGCATGCTGCCTATGACCCCAAGAACACCATCCCCACCGTCAAACATGGAGGTGGAAACATTATGCTTTGGGGGTGTTTTCTGCTAAGGGGACAGGACGGGGCCATGTTCCGTCAAATCTTGGGTGAGAACCTCCTTCCCTCAGCCAGGGCATTGAAAATGGGTCGTGGATGGGTATTCCAGCATGACAATGACCCAAAACACACGGCCAAGGCAACAAAGGAGTGGCTCAAGAAAAAGCACATTAAGGTCCTGGAGTGGCCTAGCCAGTCTCCAGACCTTAATCCCATAGAAAATCTGTGGAGGGAGCTGAAGGTTCGAGTTGCCAAACGTCAGCCTCGAAACCTTAATGACTTGAAGAAGATCTGCAAAGAGGAGTGGGACAAAATCCCTCCTGAGATGTGTGCAAACCTGGTGGCCAACTACAAGAAACGTCTGACCTCTGTGATTGCCAACAAGGGTTTTGCCACCAAGTACTAAGTCATGTTTTGCAGAGGGGTCAAATACTTACAGTATTTCCCTCATTAAAATGCAAATCAATTCATAAAATTTTTGACATGCGTTTTTCTGGATTTTTGTTGTTGTTATTATGTCTCTCACTGTTCAAATAAACAATAAAATAATGAAAATATATTATTTTATTGTTTCCCTTCTACGTGACTTTACCGAAAGAACCAAGAATATGAATCCCTGTAGTCACGTAAGCTTTAAATAAAAAAAGAAGAAATCATGTCAAATAACCCCACTGCCTGCATGGCATAGCGTTTCAGGTAAAATAATTAAATAATGCCGATTACTTGCCGACTAAAAACTAAACTATTTTTATTTTACCAGGTAAGGCCCACTGATCTATATAGCTATTTTTTCAAAAGCTACCTGGCCACAAATGCTACCTCAACGACGTGGCTTATCACGTCGAAATGTATAGCAGTCCCCAAATTCTCTTAAGTGTTGTCACTTTATTACCCAGGGCCCATGAGGCACCTTCATTGTGACACACTCGACCTTCATGTCGTGTTTAAGGACCCAATCATCAAGGAAAACATGTACATAATATAACATAGATAAAAGGGAAATTTGTGAATATGTGTGTCTGTTCGAAATGTTTAGCATACTTCCCAACATGCAACAAACTTGACATTTGGCATGTGGGTAGCTTCCAGACTGTACACAATGCAAAAAGTATAAAAATAGACTTTTGTATTTTAGGGGGGGCGCAATAATGTATATATTTTGCACGGCAAGTGAGCGGTGACGTCACATCTGTGATGTCACCCGCATGCGGAAGCGTTACGCAGTGTGCCTGCTGACGTCACGCATCCCTCCCCCCACCCTCCGCGTAGGCCACCTATTAATCCAAGACAAGAATCCAAGTCTCGGGCGAAGCCGGGTCCGGGTAGTAAAGCTAGTATATAATATACAGGGTGTTTGAAATGATGGACCCGATTTTAAATCGCTATATCTGCAACCACGAATCGCCCATGAATGAAACTCTTACCACTTGAAAGGGCAAGGCATAGAGTTTCAAATGATTACCGCTAGATGCCTCTCCCAGCGCACAAACAGCCCTGAGCCTCCGTCATTCGCAAGACGGTGACCCCGCAACACAAAGGGCGTTTTGCGTTCTGCAGTTCAGCAAGACTGAATCTGTAATTGCGGTGCAGCGTGCGTTTCAACGGCGTTTTTGCATTGATTCGCCAATGTCAAATAGCATGGTGGCACAAAAACACGGTCTTTTGTGCCACCATTAGCGACTAATCTGAATGACCTCAAAAACAGAATCACGGCAGCGTGAACTTCAGTGGAAGAAGACACTTTGAGAGGCGTTTGGGACGAATTAAACTATCGTCTCGATGTTGTCCGTACAGCAGGTAGAGGGCACATAGAGCATTTAGAATATGGTTAGTATAACGTGATAACTCATTAAACCGTTTGTAACTTTTTGTATAATTGTAACATGTTGCCATCGTGAAAATATACTGCTTTGAAATTGGGTCCCTCTTTTTAAAACACCCTGTACATTACATTTTCTTTAAAAAGTTCATTCAGCTTTTAAAACTCCAGAAGTTAAAAATAAATTATGGACTGACATGTAAATTGCTCAAAGGTGACAACAGTACAGTAAACCCTTCATATTCGTGGGTTTTATAATCACGCATCTTCATGAGTGCTATTTGAAATTCTCAGGGTTGTATTTTAAATATTCGTGACTGCTGGGCGTGATTACCCGACAACAAGTTGTGGCACATGGCAGCGTAGTAGATTGTGAGGCTGTGAAAGTTGCCCATGCGACGTCGCTCTCCCTGTCAGTCTGCCTTGGTCTGTTGCTCTGTTTACACGCCACTGCTTTCCTATACTATTGATGCACCGTATAATATCCAGTTATTTATTGATATAATTTCACTTTTAAATATGTTTATGTTCATCTCTGTTCCCTGAGCCTCGATGTACCGATGGTTCTGGCTGTGTGATGGGATTTGTCTCACTGGCACGACCACCGTTGCGGTGGTTCCCTTGCGTGGACGCGCTTGCCTCACAGCGCCGTTGGCAGCGCCGTAGCTTGTGTTACACATAGACATGACATTAACTTACTAATCCCCCTCATCTCCCTGCCTAATCTCTCCCATCAACATAGTGCTAATCTCCCATTAACACTGCTGTTGTGTGCATACACGGTGAGCGATACTCTTATGCGGCAACGGAAGCTCATTCCATGCTAATCTCTCTCCCTAATCTCCCCATTAACACAACTGACGTGCTTGCGTCTGGGGATGGAATTCCTTTCCAGCTCAGACCCCGCTTGCTTGCCCATCGCCACATAACCTCTTGTTTTAACAGCTCTCTCGCTGGTTCAGCAGTTCCACTGCTGGATTATTTTTTCCACCTGAGGACAACCGCTTGTGTTGCGATCGAAACGTCGTGATATATTATTTATTTTATTTTATTTTTCTACCTACGTGACTTTACCGAAAGAACCAAAGAGTAATTATGTAATAGATAAGTAATCAGCCACTTAGCATGTGACTCACCTGTAAGGAATTGCAATGTGATGTGTATTACTTAATAAAACGCTTCCAGGTTACGCTGAGTCTTTAGCTATCACAGCGATTAAAATTATTTGAATTCTTCTCAATTTCAATTGTTTCTTAACTAATCTTGGCCAGTAATAATTAGCTCTGCATAACACTTCAACGTTATCAAAATCAATTGAATGTCCTTTCTGGCAAGCATGCTCTGCCACTGCTGACAGCTGTATTTGGGAGAATTTAATGTTCCTTTGGTATTCTTTTAGTCTTACGCTAATGTTACGTCCCATCTGTCCAATATAACGAAAGGTCGTACTCAAATTGTAAATGTTATGGATCCACTCTTCAACACACCGGTGGGCTAAAGTTGTGAAATATTTGTCTTTTGCCAATGTGACACATTTTTTTACTAATTAATAATGCGATCTAACCCAAAATCCTTCATTATGAATAATACTGGTCGCAAAAGCCTACATGTTAAATTGAATTTTCCTCATATGCTTTACGTATTCATATTAGCAGAATTAATATTCCTGCCATTCTATAGGAACTTATCTCCGTGAACATTAAAGGTTTAATGGAGTCAGAAAGAATGCTTTGCAATGTGGCACAACCTTCATGTTGGTGATGTCCACGTCTGCTGCCTGGCTGGGAGGGTTGTCATTGTCCCCAGCGCTGTTTTGGGGGCCCTCCTTGCAACACGTCTGCTCATCAGGGGCAGATTTTGGCGTGGAGGTGTCGCAGGGCTGTGGAGATGCGCTGGACGCTCTGCTCGGGCTTGCACGATCGTACACCAGTCTGCTGGGAGACGAGATGCTCAGAGTGCTCTCCACAGGTTGCAGCAGAAACCAAGAGATGGAGATCAGACGTTGTGAAACCCGTGTACAATGCCGCTCCCTCCGCCTATCCCTCACTCCGATTTGTTTCAATCGCACACGTAGCGCAGACATCCAAATCCCACGTATGCTCCTCCTGAGAGAATGCCACCAGGTGTGCGAGGTGAATGTCTAACTACACGTTACTCGGACTGCACTCATGTGACACCCGCCAATCGGTCGTATCCCAGCGACACCACGAGACAACGCTGCGGCGGCACACCTGGAACTCGTTTGTGATGTTGCCCCATGTGTTTACAGGGAGTGGAGTGACAGGTGAGACGATGAAAAGTCTCAGGACAACGACATCTCGAGCTGCGAGTCCTATACTCCCCGGTGTCACGCCCAGACCACGTAACGCGGGAGGAGAGGCACCACCACGGCAGTGTCTGACCTTACGATGCCAAGGAAGGCACGGAATGTTCGCGCACGCTTCGTCTCCTCTGCAGAGATGCGTGGGAGAGATAATGTGCTCAGGAGCCTGCCAGGCCAGAGCAAGGCTCCCCAAGTACAGGGAGAATGTCGGCCATTCTCATCGAGGCCAATGCTATGGTGAGGCCCTTTGCTCTACAATGTCATGGGAGTGGAGGCTTCAATGCCACTCCTACTCTCTCACAGAAATATGATATAGAGGACAGACACCTGTAACCGGCTTACAGTGGCAAAATCATTTTTAAAAATCTAAACTTTAAATTATCCTCTTCGTGCAACTAGCTGTCTTGCCTTCTCTCATCATGTATATATTACACCTTAAATCGCACTTTTTGTTGCTGGTCTGCTTGGCATCTTGGGTTTTTAAGGCCTGTTCTCAGCAACCCCGATTCAATCTAACAATAGGCCTGTGTGGTGAGCAATGATAAGTGTTCTAGCAAGAATCTCCGATAAGCATGGTTGTCTACGTACAGTGCGAAAGAAGTTCTACACATATAGAAATAATCACCTCACTGAGCCTCAAGACTTGCAAAAAGAAATTTGATTCATAAATGAGAAGTGCATTTCACTTTCGGAAGGGTAGTGCAGTGGTTTGCACACTGCGCACCGAAACCTAGCTAAATCAGAAGTGAGTATTATCCAAACCGGTTCTCCCTCACCACCGTCACCAAGTGATCAACGTGGTGAAGTATGATCAAACAAATCCCACAACTGGCACGTCTTGTGTTAATATGTGAGCGCAACGTGAACGAGTGCTACACGTGTCTGAAGTGAGCAGTGCGCTTGATGGCAGTCCTACGTTTGTGAGGGGGGGCGGTGATTGTCCTCCTCCTCCTCCTCCCACTCCTCCTCCTCCTCCAGTGCTTCCTCCATCTCTGGGAAGAACTCCTGCATCATGTGTGCAGCAGCGTGTGCCTGGTTCTCGGGCAGCAGGAGGTCGGGAAATCCAACCCCTGGCTCAACTTCGGCCATGGCTTTCATGACAGCCACCAGCAGCTCCCTGGCAAGTCGCTCATCCACATCCGGCACCGGCTTAGGTCTCCTCTTCCTGGGCCGCTGTTGTGGACGTCCGGCAATCGGAGTGAGCAGGGCAGACTGACCACGTTCTCCTGCAACAAAGCGGTAAGAGAAATCTGATTAGGACAGGCGGATATCGCCCCATGGCAATGGAAACAAATGGCATCTATAAAATCGATCTTGTGTGTTTTTAGAGAAAGGGATTGTTATAGGATGGGTTCTGAGTTAAAAACCCGTGAAATAACATTCGGAATGAATGGGCCCGTTTGGTAACATGTGACTTTCTGATTACGAGCCCTTTACTCTTATCAGAATCTTTATTTACACTGGAGGAATTGGAAGGGCTATGAAGCTCTTTTTTACAGACGTCCAGTAGGGGTAGATCAAAAAGTTAGAACAAACAATATAAACACTGATACGAGTTCAAGTATAGTCTGTTCTGCTATAACGCTGCTGTGTTTTTATTACGCGAATTGGATATAATGCGATTAATGTATTAGGGAACACATTTTTTATAACGCGGATGTGAATTGGATATAACGCGACTGAGTGAACAGAACTAAGTCACGCGAATAGGAATAGGCGGATGTATGGCTGCCTCGGCATAGCATCGCACAAGGCGCGATGCTCGTGAATGCTTCTAGATGCTACCCACGCTTCTTTGTTCAGCCTGCAAATGCATCTCACATATTATCGCAGACTGTGCTTTACCAAATATACTGTGTAAGACACTGTAATTATAAAAGAACACGTAAAAATCAACAATAATATAACGAATTATCAAGATAAATGTCTGTCATGTTGGTGTTTTCGAAAATCTACTACCCGTAACTGCTTAATTCCAATTAGCGCGATTTTTCGATAACGCGCTGTTCTTCAGGAATGTAACAACTGCGTTATTGGAGAAGAAACTGAATGAAAGGTCACGAAAACAAATAAAGTATATAAGTACAAGAGAATAAGTTTTCCCCTTTTTTCTGGCAAAAAACAGGTATTCAGATGTTAAAACACCAAACTGAAACCTTTTACAAGGAATCATTTCTGCATTAACCACAATACTTGTGGTTAGAATGCAAACAAAAAATATACTCTGATAATATATGCATTGTCCTTGAAACTGATTGGTCCACACCAGAGACAGCTTTCTTTCGAGCCTCGTCTCAAACGGTGTTAGACCAGAGGACGCCAAAAGGCCTTTTGGCGTCCTCTGGTCTAACACCGCAGACATGATTGCTTGTAAAAGGTTTCAGTTTGGTGTTTTAACATCTGAACACCTGTTTTTTGCCAGAAAAAAGGGGAAAACCTATTATCATATTTTGGTACTGGCTTAGGAGGTCGCATGCTGATATATAAGTACAAATTGCTAAAATATTTAAATTCCTGCTGATTTTTCAACGCTAAATGCAACCTTGCGCAAGGCCGAAAAACAATAATAGTCCTAGACTATCCACGTGGAATACAAGGTCTACACTATCATATTTATGCACTCTACATATATATCAGTGATAGAGGTTCTTAATGATTTCAATATGATTTAGTAGAATTAAAGTGCCTGGTTTTAACGCCTGTGTAGTGACATCAGGGATGTCACTGTATGGTGCCGGCCCGAGAAGGCCGTGGCGTGCGATGTTCCTACATCGCGGACAGCACCGTGTGTGTTGCTGTGTGAGGCTGGCTCTAGCACAGGACGGCGTGCGATGCACCATCATCGCGTACACCCCGTAGGCGGGTATAGTACCAGCCCTAGCGGGGCTTGGCGAGCGCTGGGATAGCGCGGGCACCAAGCATAGCGCGTAGTGCGGGCTCCCACAAGGGGAATTGGGAGAGTGTCAGCCCAGGGGCAGGGTTGCCCCGGGCCATGGCACTCTGGTTGACCCCGTAGACACGTGATCCCGAGTGTCCACAGAGAGGCCCCCAGGTGGGGGCGCTAGGGGGTGACCACGTGTCCGGGGAGAGCTCTCGAGATGGATCGAGAGGGAGCTAGAACGCTCAACAAGGCGGGCGGGGCCAAGGGCGGAGCGGCCCCGACCCGGGAGGATATAAGGTGGGTCCCTGAGAGGGACCGGGGTTCTTCGTTCTGTAGTGTTTATAATGACGAATAAACTTCTTAGGAGGCATACTCTGTTTATTGTAATACTTCCTTAACACACAGAGGTGTATACGGTCCCCTCACTTGATACCATAAGAAGGTACAGCCTCCGGACTTAGTGTGACCTACACACAGGTCTCTTCCTAACCTAAGGAGGTACAGCCTCCTGTCTTGCCAGGACTTACTCTCGAGTCTACCGCTATCCTAGAGTCCTCTGGCTGGGACCTAGGGGAGGCTATCTGACCCACCGCTGGCCCGGCGGGTCTTGACCACTGGATGCGCCGAGCCTTAGCCCTCAGAAGGGCTGGAAGGCTGGGTCCAGGGTCCTGGCTATCTTCAGCCCGGGCTTCGGTCTTCATGAGAACTCCCCGCGCTCTCCGCGCTCACCCTTCTTATACCCGTTTGTGGCCAGGTGTAACCATTCCCACATTCCCACGTGGAACTGTCTGATTGGTTCTTACCAAACTGTGGCTATGATCCACTTCACCTCGTCTGACCCCAACCGTTTTGTACACAGAGGTAACGCTGCACTGCCCCTTTGATACCTAGTGGCAATGCAGGTTACTGAACAGTGAGTAGTTAACACCTCTACAGTTCTACAAACTGGAAGCTCCACGTCTACAAGCTGGAAGCTCTACGAGGCATCAACACGTGGTCGGGGACCCGAGTAAGGGTCTGACCCTTCGTCGCTGTAACTCCTACGTATAGAGTAGTTAGCTGGGTGGTCACCAACCTAGGCTGTACCTGGTGAAGGGGCAGTTACCCCTTTGTGTTAACGTGTTGATGTTAAAATAAAAGTGTTGCCTGTAAATAACAACGTCTGCGTCTCAGTTGGACTCACTACACCTGTGCCGAGGGCTGAACCCCTTGTGCACAGAGAGATGCACCTCCCCGAGCACCATCGAGCCACACTCTGTCCTTGTGCTCAATCACTTCTCAGCTGGGCCACATTGCGTAGGACGAGCGAGTGGTGCGCACGCCGTCTCTGTATAGATTTAAATGACAGAGCGACTCTCGTGCGGTTTTCGCGGCGGCCTGAGCTGCCTCGTTCAGATGAACAACGTTTCGCTTGTCTTTATTACACCCCAGCCAGTTCAACTGACATAACACATCTGGATTTTATCTTATTCTGCATGAATGCAAAGGTTAGCAAAATACAAACACCCATGACAAATCATTATAAATATATATGATGGGTTGGTAGAATGCAATCACACACTGGATATGGAACCCAGAAGGTCGCCATTCCTCCTCTGATGGTTTAATCCTCTGAGCCGCCCCTTTGAGCTTCTCCTGTGATTCGGTGACGTGGAGAAAGAACCCAGCATTGCCATAGCAGCATTGTCATATACGTCACCTATCACTTCGGCGCCAACAATTGCCTAAGCTCTATGGCACTATATAGGGATGTTTGGCCAACACAGTGAATTATTCAAATTTCTTGAATTATTCCTCTGACATCCTGGATCTTGTCCTGGTGATGTTCGGTACAGCGCCACGAAACGCTGTATACCTAATTGATACATTTATTTGTGAAAATTGTTTCAACATACTGGTGTGAGCTGAACACTACAGGACAATACATGTATTTGGCTGTCAGGTTGTGGAGGGTACTTAATGACATACATTTGGTCAGATCACTATGTGGCCTCAACCAAAAATCAAGTATGAATCAATTCAATGAGTGTTTATACGATGTGGTAGAAAACCAAAAAAAAATCCGAAGAGAACCCACACGCCATCAGACAGAGAAAGGGGAGAAGATAAACACGCACCTGGCACCGCGTCGTGCGTGGCCTCGGGGACGGCTGGCTCCCCCTGCTTGGCTGCCCCTTGCGGCTCCTTCTTGGGGGTCCTAGTGCGGAGAGCGGAGTCGCCGATCCCCACGTCCACAGCTCCCTCACTGGGCGGCACGGAGGAGGCAGGGTGACTGGGCGCAGGGGAGCAGACGCCAGTTTGGGACCGGCCGGTTTGCTCCCCAAAGGAAGAGGCGTTCTGCCTGGAAGACAAAGCACATTGCACCGCATGTGAATGCTTTTGCAAAGGCGACGCTCGGTTTCAGAAGTACATGTTCAAACAACGTGCACGTGTACGCATATGAATGTACAGCTCGTTTGTCAATCCACTGCTGGATGAGGGCCTCTGTACACCACGTGGGCTGTGAGGGTTATCTGACCCTACTTCACCACAGGGTGGTGAAGGTGAGGGAGCTTTGGCTGCACTGCTCTCCACTCCACAATGGTTACTACCACCCATCCAAGCACTATTCAGGCCTAAACTTGCTTAGCTTCCAAGTCTCAAAGGACCAGGCACGTTCCAAGAGCTTTGGTCACGGGCCAAAAACAATGAGGTGAACAGAAATCGAATTTAAATCGTGAAAAATGTGGAAATTTACGGAACTCTGTAAAATGTGCATCGGCCTTCCTTGAATAAAAAAGTGACTTCCACGTATGAAGAGGCAGTCAGTGCTCCTGTCATGTTTACAGCCCGAAGCGAGTAGTGTAATTCCTCATTACTATGGCAGGGGACGACTATCCATAACACAACCATTTTGACTTCCCAACAAAGTTTTACTAATTTTATCGACCATGGAGGGATGATGGGCCGAGTCAACCCCAAACCTGGAATTAAATTTGTAAGCTTCTGACTGCAAGCCGCTCACTCAACCACTGAGCCACCAGGCCAGAGGAGGTGTTGAATGAGGTCTGCTCATTAACAGCCATCCTCATCATTTTACTTAAGAATGGTGTTTTTACACCGATTCTCAAAGGAATTAACAGATTCATTAATTAAATATGCACGATTACAAATATAATTTAATACCAGTTTTAATTAACGGCATCTATAAGTGATATTGGTGAACCAATCGACACAACCAATGGTGAGAACTGCTGCCAAAACTGCTGCCCAAGCCTCCGGGTGTGTTACAGCTCTGGGCTCCACCAGGTACATTTCAGTTAGCAACTGAGGACCATTAGACAACGCGTAAGCATTCATTACCTCATGCAGTCCAGCGATTATCCATGTAGCGCAAAAACATGAGCTAAGCAATACTGCATATAACACAACTACTGCCTACATAGCAATATGAATTATATTGTAAATGTGCCCACTGCTCATACATCCGAATAACAACTCTGCTGATATAGGTATTGGTGCACTCTGCATGTTGTCTTCCTGTGGCCCACACAGCCACAACAACAGAGTACGAGTGAGAAAATGACCCTGGAATCATTTTCTCAGCAGTGGAGTATCTGTGGCTTAAGTTATCTTATGTTAAATGCTGCAGCTGAAAACGATGAAGGCACTCGTGGGGCACTTGGGCAGTGTTGTGGACAATGCAGCACTCACAGAGATATGTGCAGAGAACCGGGAGGCTGTGGTACGGGTGGATGGAATGCCCTCCCCACATCCATGAAAACATCATCGTCACCATCTTCATTCTGGGAAGATGGTGTAAATGGAGAGTCTGGATTTTGAGATAACAGAATGCGAGTCTGAGAACTCCCACCAGATGATGCAGAAGCGCTCGTGTGTTGAGATTTTAAGATATCCGACTGCACTTGACCATTTTTAACAGCTGGCCTCCAGCCTAGGCTTTCTGGATGAGGGAGTGGAGGCCGAGGTGGAGGTGAAGGGTTCATCAGCTCTGCTTCCTCCACGAGGCTGTCCATAGGACCTGCAGCTACTGCCGACTCCGTCAGTTCTAAATCTCTAGCATCTGGATGAGCAATGTGCCCCTCTGATCTTGCGTGGCTTTTATGGCCTTCGTGTTCTACCAGCAAAACCTTGGCTTCATTGTCTAAATCCCCACGGCTCGTTTCGTCTTCAAATGCTGATAGTGACCTCGCTGGGTTCTTCTGTCCGAGGGGGACAGCTTCTGCAACAGCAGCCGGTAAGTGATCCTGCTGAGTCTTGATTCTTGCCCTCTCTTTCGCTCTAGAAAGGACCTGGCTTGCTACTGAATTCCCGCCATCATTCCACAACGAATTACAGCTCTCCGAGCCTATGAAAGTCATGTCTGGAAATGTCCTCTCATCTCCGTGATGTTCTGGCAGCTGCTTGGACCATCGCGGGTTGTGAACTCCGAAGGATCGAGCATGATCCCCGACACCTCTCGGTTGTGAGCTCGATTCCCCCTTCTCAGTGCTGCTGCTGGTGCTGCTTTGCCTGGTCCCCGAAGGCACTGGATACACTCCGAATTCCTTTTCTCTGCGTTGTGTGAGAGGATGACATGTTTGGCAGAAACAGGTGAATAAGACAGCTTCGAAACACCCGAAAATATAACACGTGCAAGACACATTAAACCAAAAAGTTTTCGTGTAAGTTTAAATCGTATGTATGTATAACTTATTTTGCACGTTACATAGCCAACCGTGCTAATCAGAGGTGCAGGAGAAAGACAACAAAAAACGTCCACAGTGAATTACAATTTGAGGATGTATGCGTGTTCTGTGCTTTACATTTTAAGGTAAATTATGAAAGTGATTTAATTATTTATCATCCAATGTCAATTTACATAGGTCCCGTGACAAAACTAGCCTAAGCCACCAGTGATCCAAGGGAAAAGTTGCTCTGTGAGAGTCGAGATTCTGTGCCCAGCTCAATCATCATCTGGCTCCAGTTCACCAAATGTGCTATGTGGATCAGAATTCCTTCACTGCAGTCGAAATTACAGCCACTGACGGACGTTCCGACAGAGAGGCACAGAACATGGGGAGCGAGGTCGCTCCACGATCCCAGAGGAAGACAAATGTGTGTCGATGGTCATGCACACAGAGCAAGTGCTGTTTGGGGGTCCTCACTGGGACTCGTTCTACACAGGCACATTAACGTGCCACACTGGCTTGATATGGCTCTTGCACATTACGATTTTCATCGCAGATAAGAAAACAAAGGTAGTGGTGGTGGTCACTCTATGAATTAACCACTTGGTGCTGGGGAGGGGGACACTGCACATTGGGGTCTAGAGATCCCCTCGCCAGGCTGCACCAATATAAAAAAAAATTACTGCAACGACAACGCCAACGTACAACCAGTTGTGCGAGCGATGTATCAATTAGGGGCATTTTTGTGGAAGTGCAGTTTCCCTTTTGCTTGAATATGAAAAAGAGGCACCACTGATGATCTACTCCGCGTCTCTACACGAGAGAGATGAGGCCAATGTTCTTCAAACTCCGAACTACGTGTTTAACATACAACGTCAAACAAGTGTGTGGCAGTACAGACATCATCAGAACACCCGAGCTAGCATAACACAGCAAGAAACTTCACTGTAGCCGTCATGGGGCGGTGACGTGGCCCAGTGTGCACAGCTTGCTGTAGAGGTTGGTGGTACGAGACGAGCGGCCGCCCTCGTTAGTATTACGGGTGGATTAACCATCAATCCCACGGACCGTATGCTTCACAGTGGACGTTTTCGATATTCCCAAATCACTTAAGCCACACAGCAACAACGCCCCCTACTGCCAGTCTAATTGCCCACTGGTTGGCCGGTGCTGTGTTTACCTTACGCCAAAGAGACGACAGCTGCTACTGGGGGTCTCATTGGCTATACTGCTGCAGGGCGGTCGAGAAGTCCTGCATGGGAGGCGCGGTGTTAAAAGGAACCAATGATGCTCATATATCACATGCCATCGTGAAACTGAAGCCCAACAGTCATTTATCAAAAAAGGGATTCCTTGAGGTTACCTAGCAGGGATGGGCCCATGTTGCGTTTCATGCCCTCGGGAGGCTGGCACGAGCATGCAGCTAAATTTGGTGACACCAAGTTCCCCATCCGTCGGCTCCTGCATGACAGACCCAGCATGAGACAAGAGCAGAAAAAATACATGGCAGGGGCACTCGGCGCAACACGGGTCTCAGCACGGAGCACGCGATTTTCTGCATCACAAGCAGCACAAAGCGTTCAACGCGCAACAGCACAAGGCCAGAAACACACATTGGCACGTCGAAAGGTTACACATATGAAATGTCTGCGTGGGCATGTGCGCTGTTGTGCGTAGCAGAGACACGGCCAAGCTAAAGACCACCGCAAGGCCTGTTCCCTAGGAAAACATTCCTAGTGACATTCCCTGCGCCTGCCGCTTGCACCTGCGCACACTTACTGCCGCTTGATGCAGGCCGGTGAGTGCTACGAGCAAGCGCTGCAGCTGTGCTATTGATTGGCTCGCCTGCTGAAGCCACTTGTGGACATTTGTTTTCCTCCAGCGTATATGTGTGCATTTTCATTAATTCACACTTGGTACCTGGTGAGGTAAGTAAACATCGCCACTCGGGAGACAAAGGCGGCCAGGCCTGGTGCTGGAAACCCACCGCCTTATGTGCCGTGCCAACCTTCATAGGTGCTCACTAACAGCACTTGCCCCAAAAGTCTGATAAGGCTATACGGGTGATATTTGTCTTCGTGTGTATGTCTGTGTGCGAGTGCCAGCATCCCTGTGTTTAGTATTTGTTTGTGTCTCATGCAATTTAGAGAAGTGCACTTATTATTAACGGTATAATGTTTACATATTTTGTAAAATAAATGTACTCATTCTGCAATTCACCGACACATGCCTTTTCACCACTGACATAATAATTTCAACTTATAATGCACGGCCGCACAGTAGAGAGAGGAGACGGCAGTCATAAGCCAGGGTAGGGATCCTCCTCGACGCCCACAGGAAGGGAGTTTCATAAAATGTGTGCGATCCACCATCCCTCGCTGCCTCCACAGGGCGGGAATACAGGCAATGTTGCACCACCATTGCCTGGCTGAAGTTGCCGAAATGCAAAAACCTCCTCATGATTTGGATTCTCTTTGGATTTTTTTTATTTGCAAGCAGTTCATGAGCATAAAGGTAGAGGAGAATGTTAAAATTCTAATGAAGGGAAATTGCAATAAAAAAATTGTGATATTAAAATGAATTTAAACAAAAATAATTGGTCAATGAAAACACCAAACTAAAACTACAAGACAACACCCAGACTTGCAGCAGCAGCAAAAGCCACCCCTGAGTCAGAGTTTAAAGCCAAATGTGCAACTATTCTCAAACTGTATGTATGTCTTGTTTACCTGAATGGCACCATAAGCTTTATGGCTACAAAAAAACTTGATAGCAATTGTGCGCCTTCAAATGAAATGGAAATGCACACTAAATTAAGTTCAAATGTTTATAACCGTTCAATAATGGTCAATGAGACTTGCATTACGCCTAATAAAGTGCTTATAATGTTTGCACAACGTTAGGTGGGGGGGGGGGGGGCAAGAGTCTGGGTGGGAGGCAACCAGGGTGGGCACTGGAAACAGAGCGGTGGCCCCGCGGAACTCCTCATACTCGCTGGGGGGGCGACGCGTCCACCCACACGAACGTCCACCCAGACGAGCGTCCACCTTGACGAGCGTCCACCTTGACGAGCGTCCACCCCTACGTGCTCACGCCCCGACTCACATCCGGCGATTACATCAGCCTCTTAGGAGCAGTGAGGCGGTGGTTTGAGTCCATTCGCCACTTGAGTAAAGGGAATCGTATCAATTGTCCCTTCACTTCATTTGGGCAAACCCAACAGAGTTAGTTTCAATACTGAGACAGGATAAGTGTAGACCACTCTCGGCCTGGCAAGAGGGAGCACTGGACGGTGCTGGGAAAGAGAAGCCAAATGTAGTCATAGCAGTTCTGTGCCCTGGGGCCACAACTTGCAGCACTCTATCTCACAACATCAGTCACCTAGTGCATGTGGAAAATCAGAGACTCTCTCCTGTGTTGCGACTGCAGCTACGAACACCAAACCATTGAGCATAGAACTGAGCACTCCCTTAACTATAACATTTGGGTGAGGGAGTAGGTGAGTTTAAATGGCTAAATCACTTCCAAGTGCATCTCAAATAGTTGTTCTTCTGATTTAAAGCTTTCGTGACTCCAGGGATTCATATTCTTGGTTCTTTCGGTAAAGTCACGTAGAAGGGAAACAATAAAATAATAAAAATATAAAACAATAACATTTTATTGTTTTATATTTTTATATAAAACCGAAAGAACCACGAATATAGTTGTTCTTCATTGACCAAGTGAAATAAGATTCCTCACAGCAGCACAATTGCGATAAAATGTAAAGCATGCGATCACAAGTGTACACATAATGTGTCGCTGTGATTGCTGTGGCCTCATCAAGCGGTCAGTGCAAGTCAAAAGTTCGCAAGTGGCGCCGTCACCGCATGACGACAGCTGGGGGGCTCTCCAATGGGGGGCTCTCGAAGGCCCCCCCACTTGAGGGCCCTCAAGAGACATTCCCATCTCTGTGAAGCCACCTGCCATGAAGTGCGTCTCGATGATTCTAAAGAGCCGATTGCTGCAATTGCGACGGAGTCAGCAGGCGGCATGAGAGACTCTTTCAAGTGAGCCGCAGCTGTCCCACACGCTGTGTGGAATCCCAGTCATGCCGCAGACCATCGCGGTGGCTTGCAATGAGCAAAGAAAATCAAACTGCGTTAAAAAAAAAACACGCAGGTACTGTCTCACCATCCTGTCCTTGTTAATCTTTTCCCAAATGCCACGACCTATTTAAAGTTTGGGAGAAATGCCAGATTCATGCTGGAATGCAGCCTACCACATGGTTGACTCCTAAAACAAAACCAGTGGTGAACTCGAGCCTTGCTTGCGCTTCCCCAACTCACCAGATGCACGATGCGGTCGGATGGCGAGGACCGGGAGCGGACGTGCACGGGGTGGCTGGGTCGTTCCAGCAGATCTTCTGCCGAGGGAAACTTGTCAGCCTTCCTGTTGGAGTTGGACGCGGTCATCAATTCCCCACGAGGACGAGGATGATGAGCTTTATGCTGATAGAAATAAAGTGAATCGGATGGTTTGCTGGAAAGATTCTGCACTCCATCTTCCCTGCTATTGAGCTCCCTCAGGGCAGAGTGGTTCAAGTTCATTTCAGACATTGACATTTGCTGTGCAGTGGGTCTGTACAAGGGGCTGGGAGTGGAGTCACTTCCACTGTGGCTACCCGACTCCAGATTGTTCGATGAATTCCTGTACTCATACGAGTTTGGCTGGTGCGTTAAGAACCTGCGAGTGGTTTCGCAAGGCGGTGCACTGAGAGGGTGAGTCTCCTTGGTAGTGGGCTTCCTCCCCGTCTTCCTCTCCATGAAGGCGGCCAGGGCGTTGTGCTGCTGTTCGCGGAGTGGCGGCCGGGAGAGCACAGGTCTGTGTTGAAGTGCGCTGCTGCCTCCCCCGTGCTCATGCTCCGGCCTCTTCCTGTGATCCACGCAGCTACTCCACTCATTGTCGGGATCCGTGCACGGTGCGTCGATTCTGCGTACGGGTGCCAGGGCGAGTCGGGCAATCTCGTGCAGCTTATCAGGCTCAGAGTATGAGCGTTTCTTCATCTCTGCACTCAGCTGCTTCTGGGCGTACGGATGGAACGCACGTGCACTTGTCTCCATGTCCAGTGTTTGTGGTGGTGCTGGCTTCTCCAGGCTCATTTGCTGAACCGGATGCTCCATCTTTTGGGGTTTTGGATGCGGAGTTTGTCCTGAGCTTGGAACGTGATTCCATCTAGTGGTCTTATTACAACCAGAAAAATTGGACAGAAGCGGAGCCTGCACAGGTTTAAAGTTAAGGTCTTTGCGACTAAATGAGGTTGCTGATAATACCTTGGACTGTGCTGCCTTAATGCTCTGACTGTAAGAGCTCGTGAATGCCTCATCGCTGGCTGAAGGAATATTACTGTCTTCCCGATTGCCTTCTTTATCAATCAGCTCCACACTTCTGCTTCGGACTCCAGACAGATTCGCCTTTTGTGCCATCTCCATCGCAGCACCACCAGCCACGGCACCATGAGAATTCCTGGAATGCATATGCAGCGGTGATGGATATTTAATCGGCGATGCAAGATTATCAATAACTGTATCACTGCCGGATGCGTTGCTGTAGCCCTTCGATAACAAGTGCAACATCGGGGTTTTTTCAGCACTGATGACATTTTCAGAAGAAAATGACCTCTGATTGAAAGAACCGGAACTACCAGAAAACAAGTCGTCGTGCTCTTTCCAGCTTGCATGCGCCCGCCTGTGGTCAGTCGCCAGATCTCTGCTGCTCGCAGAGCTGTTGAGCTCCGAGCTGCTTTTGCTCCTGGTCCTGTCGACAGTCTTGTGCCGAGGGTGTGGGGCAGCAGCAGAGTGCGGAGTGGACGGCTCCACCGAGCGCCGACAGTAGCTGCCGTCTTCTTGGCCCCTGAGCCTGTAGGCCCGGAACTGCTGCTCTGCGGGAGTGGCACATGGCCAGGCGTCTCCCGCTGGGTCCGTACGGGCCCTGCCAGCCGGCGTGCCAGGCTCGGGCACCTGCTGTGCCGTCATGCAGAAAAACCTCTCCGAATGCGCGGAGCCAAAAGCGGACTCCGCACAATTTGACCGATAGTTCACATCATTTACACTCGTCTCACTGGCCTCTCTAGAGTGCATCAAGTTATCATGATGGAAAGGAGAGTCCAGTCCCCAATTTTCAGTGCGTCGGAGCTGTGCAAAATCATTCGGTCCAATTCTGCTCATATCATTGGGTGAATGAACCCGGACGATGTTGTAAACGTTGCCTGTTAGTCCAAGCGTTCCGGCCACGTCGCCGCTTCCCAGAAAACTATCAGCCGGCAGTGGCGCTGCGTTGTTGCTGTGCGATGACTTGTAGTTGCCGTTATGATCTTCTTGATGCAAAAAGGCGGCTGAAACCCCACCACTTACGATGCCTTCATTTCCAACGCACGTCCCCCCATGTCCAGCCTGTTGCCTGTTTTCCTTGTAAATGCCATTCTGTGAAACTTGGGTCGCATTGTCCTCCGGTGCACACACATCCGCGCGCGGACTGTGGAAAGTTTTTCTGGAGGGTCTGGCCGGTACCGCAGGCTTCTGTTTGCCGCTTCCGAGTCGGTGATCCGCTGCGTGCGCCATCACCTTCTGCTGCGCGTGCGCGGCCTTACTGTCCGTGCGCTGCACGCAGCGGCTCTCCCTGTCCGGCTCCCCGCCGTGGGTACCGACGGGACTCACGTCCACGTCGGCGAACAACGGCCTGTTGGGCTGCACGGGTCCCGAAACGACGCGGTGGATCTGGTGCGACCACACGGCTAGCGTGGCCGGCTGTGCCGTGCCGCACAATGGGGAGCCCCGGTCCAGGTGCCGCTTCAACCGGAGGCTGTCCCTTCGTGCCGGTGGCACCGGGGGCGACGACGCGGCCGCCTTCTGCCACCTGTTCGCTGCGGAGTGGCTCGCGAGGTCCGAGGTGGCGCTCACGCGTCGCAGGGTTCGCTCGCGGGCCGCCAGCTCGCCCGTGGGCGGCCCCTCCGGCTGGCGGGTGCCGTCCTCCCACGCGGGCGAGGGCTGCGAGGAGCCCAGGAGATTTTCCGCAGATGAAAAGTGGCGGCATCCCGCGACGGGACATAGGCCGCCGGCACAGCCCCGGCACACCCGCGAGGCCGCCGGAGGTCCGTCGGCCCCGGCGTCCGCCCCCGGCTGCGGCGTGGAGAGGGAGCTGTAGGCCGAGTCGGTGCGGCTGCGGGGCGTCCACCGCGCGGGGGACGCAACGATTTGGTCGATGCTGCCCGTGGAATGCGCGAGCGGCAAGCGCTGGGCCAGGCCCTGGGGAGAGCCACCTTCGTTGCGCCAGCGCAAAGGGCTCCCTCTGTCGTTCCGTCGCTCGTACTGCTGGGTACTGGCCTCGCTGGAACATGACTCACTGCAGGGTGAGGGACAGCAGATCAATTACCACGACAAACATTACTCATTATAAGCACCTCATTATTACCTCCAGTGGGTTCATCTTGGATAAACTTATGACCACTGGGCTTATGACTGTTAACCGCTATATCACTGTCAAATCAAGCAATGCCACAAGTTAGTGTGGCACGGAAGGAATATAAGCATTGCCACAGTGGTATTATTTTTTCCTAAAGTCAATGAAATTTTATATTTCACTCTCTTATTTATATATCCTATTATTTGCAAGGGTTATGAAATATAAAGATAGCAAAGAGTGCCATCTGTACCACCGTCTGATACATTTAATAAAACGTTAGTTGAATTTACTCATAGATGTTCTTATAAATAGAACAAAGAATCTCATTTTTCCATAATTTGCTAAATTATTAAACTGGCTGTGAGATAAGATTTCAAGGTATTGCCTCGAAGTTTCTGGGTAAACGTTTCAGGTTTCCAAGAAGGCTAATGGCGAGCACAAAACATTTACTGAAATTGTGCAGAAGTGTTTGCCAAGTTTACAGTTTTAAATATGGATGCTAAAATTGCAAAATATTAAGGGACATTTGTCAATGGTTATTTTTTCTCACAAAACCACGTACAGAAAACACGCATGGGCAGCCTACATAGGTCTCGTCATGCCTACGAGGGCAGCGTGGACCGTGAGCCAGCCGACGGTGCTCTAAATATGACCTGGCTTCTCATCCAGGTGAGCGCACGGTTTCTCAAATCTCCCACCACGTCTGCCATCACTCTCGCATCTACCCACAGGCTTCCCAACCCATTCCCAACATTCCCCCATTATAGTCCCTTAGTTTATTCTGTGTTACTCCATGTTAGTTCACTCCGTGTTACTCCGTGCTGGTTTATCGTCCCTTAGTTTACTCTGTGTTACTCCATGTTAGTTCACTCCGTGTTACTCCGTGCTGGTTTGGCTATGGTGAATCCCTTCACTTAGAATTTTGGTCAGAGCAAGAGTGCATTTACGTTTACCCAAACAAGCGGGTTTTGGTTTATGCTTGCAATGGTCTCAAATCTTGTCTGATGCAGAATAAGATTTAATGTATAGAATAGCTCCAAAGCGACCAGCTGAATCCACGAGACTCATTAATTAGTGAACATCATAAATTAGTGAATAGGGGTATTTCGTTTCACATGTCACCCTACGCTGAGTTTTCCCATTGTCCACATGTGCTTGCCAGGCTGTGGCTGCTGGAGCTCAGCGTTGATGACTTTACAGAATGGCACGTGGCGGAGATGTGGCGGAGATATCTCCACAGAGGTCGTGCACCCTCATGTACTCTCTCTATCGTTTACCATGGGCAACTGCCATTTCCAAAGCTGTGTTTTGCTTAGATATTAACAAACAGATGCTGATTAATTAAATATTAATGGATTACTTACACTTAATATCGTCCATTGACATATTACCCAAAAACCCGCAGTTAAACCGTACATTTCTGCTGTGTTCAATGTGAGTTGTGGTCCCACACTGTTCACGTACGTCTTGCCTTTTACTTTAAGCCACCCAGTTGCATCTGTTTAATAGTATACATGTTGTTGATGAGAATGAAGTTGAAACCACTTCACGGTGTGCCTGTTTTAAAAACTGTGACTAGGAAAAATTGGTCCAGAAAACCTGTTCATTGAGGGGCTTGACAAAGTTTCATCCCGCTCAAGAAACACAGTCCTAAAATCTGTATTCTTTGGGTCTTTCAGTAAAGTCACGTAGATAGGTTCAAAGAATATAACAAAAAACAACAAACACAAAACCTATCAACGTGACTTTACCGAAAGACCCAAAGAATATGAATTCCTGCAGTTACGAAATCTTTAAGTCAAGATTTAGTCCTAAAATCGTTTATAATTCATCTGTTTGCAATCTGCCAAAGCAGTTCCCAGTTCATGTTGAATGCCAACTGATTGAATGCTGTGTAAATTGTGGAGCAAAATATTGGAAATAAAATAATCTTTGATCAATGTTAGGTTCTTTTTGAATTTTTATCAAATTTGGCAGACATTCCAAATACAAAAGAGGCTCCTACACTTCGACCCCTGCTGCAACAACATGGGGGCACAATCCAGGATCACATGCACCGTCTTTCACCAATGCCATTACGCGTATACCGGGGCCACTCTGGGCGCATCACACTGCACCACACGGTAAGAGCCACTGCTGGTACCACGAGGGACCGTCCCTGGTTCGTAGGTTCCATCCCAGGCTCAGAGGGATGTGCCTAGGGATGTGCCTCTAGGGGGACACTCTGGCCGAGAGCGGCACCTAGGGAGTAAAACTTAAAAAGTGTATTCTACCAGGTAAGGCCGACTGAGCTATGTAGCTTTTTTTATAAGCCACCTGGCCACAAATGATAGCTCAACAAAGTGGATTATCATGTGAAATTCATAGCAGCCAAATAATCTAAACACATGTTTCTAAATGTGGAGGAAAAAACCAGAGGACGTGGAGAAAAAGCCACACGACCCCGGAGAGAACATGCAAACTCGAAATATACAGGCGCAAGTGTCGGGATCAAACGCATGACCTCCTACATACCAGGCGAGGGAGTAAACATCTTGCCACTGCACGACCCTGGGACTGGAGAAAAACTGTGTGTGAAGAGGGTTGGACCTGTGTGTTCCGTTCCTCAGGTTGGGCCTTGCTCTCAATCGACCAACTTAGATTTCTCTCTCCCTCTCGGTGTTTCATGTCTATGGGAGTGAGAGTGCCAGCTTGCCTGGAGTAGGAGTTGGAGTGCTGGTGGACGCGTAGCAGCCGAGATGTGGGGTGGCTGCTGCCTGCTTGCTCCGGCCATGGCCGGCCCACGTGCCACGAGACCGGCGTCGCCTCTGACTCGGTCCTCCTGTCAATAAACACGACGACGCTCCTTCCATCACCGGCCTGTTCTTCAAGGATCAAACCTCGCATCGTACAGCCACTTCTGATGCTGGAGCCACCTGGGCCGAGTGAAACATTCACACCCTGTGCATTGTCTTTGAATACTGCAGATCCATCGTAGAAAATGTTAAATTCTATAATTGTTTGAGTGTCTGGCTCAATTCTCACAATCTTACACCTGTCATACAAACCATTATGATTAAATACAAAATCAAGTTAGGTAAATTTTTCTGAAAGAAATTTTATTTATTGTTATACAAGGAATCATATTTCTGTTGTCAGCACAGATCACAGCTGTAAATCATATGCACCCATTCATGTTACAACTCTATTTGGGTGCGACTGCGTGTGTGTCACAGTAGAATAACGCTGAAAATGTATATTTTTTATAAAGGCTGCAGAAACCTCAAACAAATAGGCACAGTTTTACAGTCGGTCTGGCACTCTTAAATAAGAGGCATTCTGTTCAGGGTCACCTCGACAGCAAATCTGGCCACATTTCATTCTCAACACAAAAGACGTTTCTACTTAAAGTGATGGCTAATAAACTTTCCTCGAGTTTATCTGGTTGACTCGTACTGGACTAAAACCTTCACAACCTATGATGTACCACAAAATTCCAATATCTTGCGTCGAAAGCTACCATGGGACGAGAGCTACCGTGGGCTGAGAGCTACCGTGGACGGAGAGCTACCGTGGGCCGAGAGCTACCGTGGACTGAGAGCTACCATGGGCCGAGAGCTACCGTGGGCCGAGAGCTACCGTGGGCCGAGAGCTACCGTGGACCGAGAGCTACCGTGGGCCGAGAGCTACCGTGGGACGAGAGCTACCGTGGGACGAGAGCTACCGTGGGACGAGAGCTACCGTGGATTGAGAGCTACCGTGGGCCGAGAGCTACCGTGGGACGAGAGCTACCGTGGGACGAGAGCTACCGTGGGCTGAGAGCTACCGTGGGACGAGAGCTACCGTGGACTGAGAGCTACCGTGGGCCAAGAGCTACCGTGGGCCGAGAGCTACCGTGGGCTGAGAGCTACCGTGGGCCGAGAGCTACCGTGGGACGAGAGCTACCGTGGACTGAGAGCTACCGTGGACTGAGAGCTACCGTGGGACGAGAGCTACCGTGGACTGAGAGCTACCGTGGACTGAGAGCTACCGTGGGACGAGAGCTACCGTGGGACGAGAGCTACCGTGGGACGAGAGCTACCGTGGGCTGAGAGCTACCGTGGGACGAGAGCTACCGTGGACTGAGAGCTACCATGGGACGAGAGCTACCGTGGGACGAGAGCTACCGTGGGCTGAGAGCTACCGTGGGACGAGAGCTACCGTGGGCTGAGAGCTACCGTGGGACGAGAGCTACCGTGGGACGAGAGCTACCGTGGACTGAGAGCTACCGTGGGACGAGAGCTACCGTGGACTGAGAGCTACCGTGGGACGAGAGCTACCGTGGATTGAGAGCTACCGTGGGCCGAGAGCTACCGTGGGACGAGAGCTACCGTGGGACGAGAGCTACCGTGGGACGAGAGCTACCGTGGACTGAGAGCTACCGTGGGACGAGAGCTACCGTGGACTGAGAGCTACCGTGGGCCAAGAGCTACCGTGGGCCGAGAGCTACCGTGGGCTGAGAGCTACCGTGGGCCGAGAGCTACCGTGGGACGAGAGCTACCGTGGACTGAGAGCTACCGTGGACTGAGAGCTACCGTGGGACGAGAGCTACCGTGGACTGAGAGCTACCGTGGACTGAGAGCTACCGTGGGACGAGAGCTACCGTGGGACGAGAGCTACCGTGGGACGAGAGCTACTGTGGGACGAGAGCTACCGTGGGCTGAGAGCTACCATGGGACGAGAACTACCGTGGGACGAGAGCTACCGTGGGACGAGAGCTACCGTGGACTGAGAGCTACCCTAGGCTGAGAGCTACCGTGGACTGAGAGCTACCGTGGGGCGAGAGCTACCGTGGGACGAGAGCTACCCTAGGCTGAGAGCTACCGTGGGCTGAGAGCTACCATGGGACGAGAGCTACCGTGGGACGAGAGCTACCGTGGACTGAGAGCTACCGTGGGACGAGAGCTACCCTAGGCTGAGAGCTACCATGGGCTGAGAACTACCATGGGACAAGAGCTACCGTGGGCTGAGAGCTACCATGGGCTGAGAGCTACCATGGGACGAGAGCTACCGTGGACTGAGAGCTACCGTGGGACGAGAGCTACCCTAGGCTGAGAGCTACCATGGGCTGAGAACTACCATGGGACAAGAGCTACCGTGGACTGAGAGCTACCATGGGACGAGAGCTACCGTAGACTGAGAGCTACCATGGGCTGAGAGCTACCATGGGCTGAGAGTTACTGTGGGGCAGAGAGCTACCGTGGGGCAGAGAGCTACCGTGGGGCAGAGAGCTACCGTGCTCCGCAGGCAGGATTCAAACTTGGGCCAAATCTGTGCTAGAGCAGCTGTTACAATTGTTCGGAGTCACAGGCTTCGGCACAGAAACTTCGAAACGGAGAATGCTTCTCCATTCAAGATGCCTCATGAACATGGAACAAAATAACATCTCTTCTCATTCAACGACAATCCCCTCTCAATTAGCTGTCAATAATAATCAGAAGCCATTATTTGGACAATCCGAGAGCAAATGTTGAAATCATCTTCTTCCTCACACTTGTGCGATATTGTTTACACGTGATTTGTGCAAGAAGTTTCACATTCAAGCGGCTTCAGCCGACAAAAGATTACATTTTCCCAAAAAATAAAGGCGTGAAGATATACGGTGAGAATGTTAACTATCTCAGATGTGCTCATAACATGGTCATTATAACGACAGGAAATTAAAGAGAATCATTATTGGAGGGACTCGACTGGACAGCGCAGCAGACGATGTGAACTTTGGACAGCTGTTGAAGGTGAATCGCGATCAAAATGATCAAATAGAGGCAAACGAGAGCAGGATTAAGGTGCTGTTGAAAAAAAGAATTAGAGCATGAAACGTAAAGCAGCAATTGTGCTTCAAGAAAAAGGCGTCCAATCATTTTTGTAATCCAGGTCTCCATTGACAGAGAGAATTTGAGTCTCTGCAAGTTCTCGCGCCTAATCATAAATGAAGCACTTTGACTACATAAATTAATGTGATTGTTACACTGTGAGGAAAGGATATCAGCATCACCCATGCACATCTAAAATGTAGGCTCCGTGATTAATTTACACTGGTCACTGCACGAGTGAATTTCTAAATCATTCTACAAGATTGTCCATAAGAGGCCGTCCATAAATGACGTCACGCGATCTTGGACGATTTTTGACCCCCCCCCCCCCCCATCGTCACAGGGCGTCACAAAAAGTCAGACCCCCCCCCTCAAATATGACGTCACAAAGCTCTTCCCACCCCCACCCCCCAAAAAAAACATGCTTCAAATCACTTTGAACTATTGTCATTGTAGTGCGTATTTAATGTGCCGCTGCACTCTGATGTTGTAGGAGAAAACATTGATTTAAAAGCCTCTTTAATTAAGCAGAACGTGTTGTCTATATTTATTTAAAGTTGCGCATTTTGATGTGACGCCACATTTCTTAAACCCCCCCCCCCCTCGTCACACATCGTCACAAATGTTTGACCCCCCCCCCCCCCCCCAGGTGCGAGGTCAGTTATGGATGGCCCCAAAGAGGTTTTCTTTGGGCTTTAGATCGCGTAAATATATAAATGTGTCGTTAAAACCCGCCACCACAGCCAAATAGTAAGGGTTATCACGTAAACAGAACGTGGCCAATTCGTCACTAGTACAGCACTAGTGTATAGTGTAGTGTATAGTAGTGTAGAGTGTAGTGTATAGTGTAGTATACTAGTACAGCACACCGGTGTGTTGGAGAGCCAAGCCACAACATTTACAATCTGACTACGACGTTTCGCCAGTAATTACAACTAGCTTCATCAGGCGACAGCCAGATTAGTAGAGAAGTCTGTTTCGTTCCTTATTTAGAGGCGTAGATGTGGTGATCACGCTTCTGCGCTCTTGCACAATGTGGGAGGGATTACTGAGCCAACGTACATGATGCATGTGCATTATGCGAGCCCTTTGAACTTGTCCTTCCTGTCTATTGTGTTTATTAAAATAGCTCGACCAACGGTAATCCCTATTAAAGCATGCTGCCCTTTATAGGCATGCATTTAAATAATGTATTATTTGAAGGTTCGCTTCCACGCAACACTAAGGCGATCTAACCCAAAATAAAAACCTCTATGGATGATATTGGTCGCGAAAGGCTATGTTAAACCGACTCTACAAGATTGGCCAAAACAATTACCACGCAACGTCTTACAGATACAGCAGCAGCTCCTTTCCGTAGAGATGCCGTTACGTTATGTAAACAAAATCGCTGAAGGGAAACTACCGAAACAATACCGCGCAAAGGAGACGCAAAGATCAGTGACGCCGCGCCTCGTTAATATTGCAGCGACGCAAGGAGTTGACACCACCACTCACTGCTGCTTCTTCTTCTGCTGCTGCTCCTGCTGCTGCAGGTGAAGGCGAGCGCCCACCATTGTCGATAAAGCAACAGCCTCAACTTGGCTACATGCGGGGATTTTACTTGTGATAAAGATGTACTTTCTTTCACGGGCGACACATGCTCATTCATTACCTGCACTCTCCATGTGGATTGTAATTTAACCTGTTATTATAAATAGCAGGGGGCTGTAATTGTAGGCAGGTGGCCGAGGCAGCAGGGCAGCTGAAACAGGGCAGTCGCCTCCTTGAAGGGCGACGTTGAATCATGTTTATGCCCAGAGGCCGTGACACATGTGGGACATCTGAGGCAATCATCGGCTGCAATTGTCATCGGCTGCAATTGTCACCGACAACTTTGGGAACTTGCTATGGCAACGGCACAGTGATGGATCTGCGTTTAGCCAATTAAAATAGGTCGTTGAAAAGTGAATGTGTAATGACCAATGATGGGTCCGCAGAGCACACGACCCAAAACAGTCCCATGATCTGTAATCGGATTGGAAAAGCACTCAGCCTTTGGCTATTATGCAAAAAATGAGCATTTCCTAAAGAAGGGCATTGTGGTCCTCTTGTTCGAAGTCACCATCAAAATCAAAGAAGGCAGTCGTACAAAGATAGACAACTGCAGACTGGTTTCGCTCTGATATAGGACAGTGTGGAAGTGGGGACTCCACACACGTGTATTCCTAGAGGCAGACTTTGCAGCAGAGAGCATTGGTTACTGCTATACTCATGTGCTTAACTAAGTTTTCAAAAAAATGAAGGTTTTAATTCAAATGAAGTTCTGCACATTACAACATGTTTTGTACAGGATAATAACATCTCTTTTAAATATTAACCCCTTTGTCAACCCACTGCTGGATGAAAGCTTGTTTGACCATACTTCACCACGCAGCCACGTCAGGTTAGGTAAATCGGAGAGGGGGCCCAGCCTCTGACGTTTACAGAGGCTGGGAATCAAAGTCAAGTCTCCAGGTCCATTGCGCAGTTCGCTCACCATT